CAACACAACCAAATACAGAAACGTGCTGCAAATACTCGTAACACAACCAAATACAGAAGCACGCTGCAAATACTCTCAACACAACCAAATACAGAAATGTGCTGCAAATACTCGTAACACAACCAAATACAGAAGCTCGATGCAAATACGCACAACAAGACCAAATACAGAAACGCGCTGCAAATACTCACAACACAACCAAATACAGAAACGCGCTGCAAATACTCGCAACACAACCAAATACAGAAACTCGCTGCAAATACTCAACACAACCAAATACAGAAACGCGCTATAAATACTCAACACAACCAAATACAGAAACGTGCTGCAAATACTCGCAACACAACCAAATACAGAAACGCGCTGTAAATACTCGCAACACAACAAAATACAGAAACATGTTGCAAATACTCGCAACACAACCAAATACAGAAACGCGCTGCAAATACTCGCAACACAACTAAATACGCTGCAAATACTCTCAACACAACCAAATACAGAAACGTGCTGCAAATACTCGCAACACGACCAAATACAGAAACGCGCTGCAAATACTCTCAACACAACCAAATACAGAAACGTGCTGCAAATACTCGCAACACAACCAAATACAGAAACGCGCTGCAAATACTCTCAACACAACCAAATACAGAAACGCGCTGCAAATACGCACAATACGACCAAATACAGAAACACGCTGCATATACTCGCAACACAACCAAATACAGAGACGCACTGCAAATACGCACAACACGACCAAAAACAGATATGTGCTGCAAATACACACAACGTGACCAAATACAGAAACGCACTGCAAATACTCTCAACACAACCAAATACAGAAACGCGCTGCAAATACACACAATGCGACCAAATACAGAAGCGCTCTGCAAATACTCACAACACAACCAAATACAGAAACGTGCTGTAAATACGCACAGACCACAATGGAATGTTTAAGGGAACAGCAACAAGTGACGACCCATGGCTGGGACATGTTTATCAATGTCTGCTCTGAAAGGTGAGATTTTTGTTTATTTTAACATCGTGATCATATGATTCCTTAGCTTTTTGGATATCATTAGCCTAAATAAGCCGACAAAATATACAATTACTGTAACTGTGAAATGTTATGTAAGCTGGCTAGCTAATTTGCACAACGTCCCCTATGAAAATTAACCATGGTTTTAATATTAAAAGAAAAAACGTGGTTACTATAGTTAAATCATGGTAACCACAAATTAACCGTGGTTTTGCTACACCAACCATAGTTTAACCATGGTATTTGTACAACTGTGGTTATACAAATGGTAATCAATATGCCAAAAAAAGGTTACTACACTTTTACTATAATTTTATTAAGGGTTGTTGGGGTCCCCTACGCAGCTTTTATGTATTTGGTCGCATTGTGCGTATTTGCAGCACGTTTCTGTGTTTGGTTGTGTTGCGAGTATTTGCAGCACATGTGTTGTCAAACTGATTAATATATTCTCTTAATTTGCTGGTGCTTTTTCTATTTGCATATGTTTTCTTAAGTTGCAGTGTGTTGAGTTCTCTCAGCCACCGTACTTAAGGGTTGGCTAGCCCAAAAATTAAAATTCATTTAATCACCCTCATGTTGTCCAAAACCCATTTACTTTCTTACTAGTGTGGAATACAAAAGACAATTTAAAGTTTTTCAAAGTTTTCATCCATAAAATGAAAGTTATTTGGGTTGTGTGTTTTTTTTTAGCCTCTTGACTTTCATTGTACCGACAAAAACTTCTTCAAATTATATTCTGATATGTCATGACGGTGAGTAAATAATGATACAATTTTCATTTTTGGGTGAACTATCACTTTAATATAATACTAAACATACACTACCATTCAAAAGTTTTTTGTTTGTTTTGTTTTTTTTGGTCAAGAAATGTAGACATTTATTCAGCAAGGACATTCATTTGATATAATCGACAGTAAAGATTTTTGCATTGTTACAAAAGATTTCTATTTCAAATTAATTTTTCACAAAAATAATAAGAAGCCAAAACTTTTCAGAATTGGTAATAAATAAAAAATGTTTCTTGAGCATTAAATCAGAATATTAGATTGATTTCTGAAGGATCATGTGACACTGTAGACTGGAGTAATGACTACTGAAAATTCAGCTTTACAATCACAGTAATAAATTACATTTTAAAACAGACAACAATTATTTTAAAATGCAATAATATTTCACAATATTTGTACCATATGTTTTAAGTATCAAATAAATGCAGCATTGGTGAACATAAAACGCTTATTTTAAAAACATGATAAAGTCTTACAGAACTTTTCAGCGGTAATGTATGTATTCCTTTTCCAAATAATTCTAGCAAAGAATGAAGCACTTCCTCTGCTGTTCATATATTATGTCCAGTACATCATCCATGTGCATAATGTAAGAGTATATAAATTAAATATGTGTAGCTGTCTGCTCACCAGGACACATGTGTGCCATCATATGATACACAGCCCTCTAGTCGGCCTTGATTAGATCCAGAGGCAGCAGATACATGACTGTTTCTGGTGAATGGTTAAACCCAGATTTTATCCATGCCACAGAGAAGCCTGTCAGAAAAAACGAAGCTTGATCAATATCGCTGTAATATTTAATGACCAGTGAAATATTCATACACAGCGCTCGTAAATACAGATAAAATGAGAACGCATTATGGAAGTGAGGCAGAGAGTGAACGTCTCAGACAACTCCATCAGCACTCAGTAGGTACCAGATCTTTATATGATGCTGACCGAGAGCATCATGGCAGAGTCCATTAGTCCAGCTCCATTTCATTACACAAACATACAAGGTGGACTCACTCAGTCCTTGGAGTGGAATTAACAAAATATAGGCCTATATATTAATGCATGGAGTAAAAGCAGAAGAGATTTATTTTGTAGATTTTTATTTGGAATAGCAAACACACAACACCAATAAGCATGCTTTTATGGAAAGCGTAACGGTGGAAATAAGATGTGCACATAATTAAATCTTAGATTCTCTCTGGATGACAGAGAAGTGAGAGAAAGAAAGCAGAGATGGAGAAAGGAATAACAGCAGGGCCAATATTGCCATCTCTGCCCGAGGGTTGCTCCCAGTGCTAATTGGCGTTACATTCTGCCAATGGAGGGGAGCAAAGAGGGGGCTCCTATTTCGCATGGCTGGATTGAAGCATTGATGAGACATAAAGGCAGGGAGTAACTCTGGATATGCGGATGACTGCAGCCAAGCGATGGTTTCTCAAACAGAGGCAAAGAAATACAGTCTGTATTTTTTTCTGCTGAGAAGAGGTTAGATTTTGTACTGAAGTATGACTTGTACCGATAGCGCCTGCAGCCTCAGGCATTCATTGCCCGTATGCTGAGACGCATATAAAATTAGGTTCATGACTTCATCTGCACGTATGACTCAGCTTGTAGTGGCATTCACTAATAATAGTGTCTGACTGCAGTGCATTAAACACACTCATGTTCAGGGTGTAGTGTTCACACTGGCATATTTTTTTAATCAATGTCAGAAAGACATTCAATTAAAGTTTATTGAACTGTATAAACATTGCCTGTCCAATTTAGTGTATAGTTCACCCAGAATAGTTCACCCAGAAATGAATATACCCAACATGAGGCCATCCAAGATGTTGATGAGTTTGCTTCTTCATCATAACAGATTTGGAGAAATTTAGCATTACATCACTTGCTCCACCAATAGATCCTCTGCAGTGAATGGGTGCCGTCAGAATGATAGTCCAAACAGCTCACAAAAGCATCACAATAATCCACAAAGAATCAATGCGATTCCAGTCCATCAATTAACGTCTTGTGAAATTAATCAATAAGATGCTTTTAACTTTAAACCACTGCTTCTATTTAAAATATGAATTTTATATCCATAATATTGCTTTCTGCAGTGAAAAAGTTGTCTTGTCTGAATCAGGAGAGAATGAGGATCAAGCACAGTTTACAAGCAACAACCATCCAAAACATTTCTAAATATGTTGGTGGATTTTGATGTGAGAGGACAACAGGTGATGGACTTTTCACTGGAGGAAGCGTTATAATGGATTATGGACTCCTATTATGGCCAGAAGTGATGGATTAAATGCCTTAATGATGGATTTGTTTCTTACAAACACACAACTTTTCACTTCACAAGACATTAATTGATGGACTGGAGTTGTGTGAATTACTTGTGGATTATTGTGATGTTTTTATCAGCTGTTTGGGCTCTCATTCTGATGGCACCCATTCACTGCAGAGGGTCCATTGGTGAGCAAGTGATGTAATGCTAAATTTCTCCAAACTCAAACAAATTCAGCACATTTTTATTTGTACTATTCCTTTAATTACTGAGCTTGACAATATCAGTGAGGATAAATCTTTCTCAGTCCTCCCAGAGTCCTTTGCATGCAGGGAAGGTGAATGAGAAGGAAAATGTGACCTCTAAGGCACTATGCAACTACGGCGCCACACAGCCAACGCGTTCTTCCAGTATGTCCTCTCTGCTACCTGCAGGAACATCTGCTGCCTTGTCTTTCTTTGTCAGGTAATAGGTGCTGACCAGAAAACAAAATAACTAAAGGTGTGTGTTGTAGAAAACAAAGAAATGTTTTTGTAATTCTGTCAAATCACTGAACATCCACAGGGCAGCACAGAAGTTGAATGTAATGGTTAGAAGAGGAAGGCACTTCTCAGAGAGCAGTGCTTCCCAGCGCATGACAAACTTCTGTAATCTTCTGCAGAAATCTCCTCCTCCAGCACCAGCAAACATTTTTCACGCTGCTAGTAAGAGCAAAGAAACACCTGGGATGAGGAAGGTATGGCTTACATGTTCACTACAAATGTTAATTTTTGAATGTTTGCTACTAAAGACCATCAAAATGTTTGGATGCTTATATTATTAAGTGATATATTGTTATATTATGGTCGTTTTTAATTTGTTATTAAATTAGTAATAGACAGAATTCATAGATTTTTTTTAATTCTTTAAGGTGCACTCAGTAATTTGATTTATATTCTGCTGTTATGTAAATGTTTTGTTAAGTTTTCAGTTACTGATTGTAGAAATATGCAAGCCTGAGAAAGAGACTGTAGAAATATGGAAGAGCAAAGGTTAAGAAATAAAGAAATTGTGAGATATAAAGTCACATTATGAAATATTATGTCTGATTATGAAAGATACAGTTGCTAATTATGAGAAATATAGAGTAAGATTTATACTAGCATGCAAATGCTAGAATAACTAGAATTAATAACTAGAATTACACTACCATGCAAATGTTTTGGGGTCGGTAAGATTTTTTAAATATTTTTGAAAGGAGTCTCCTATGCTCACTAAGGCTGCACTTATTTGATCAAAATACAGTAAAGGCAATAATATTGTGAAATACTATTACAATTTAAAGTAACTATTAAAGTTTTCTATTTTAATATACTTTAAAATGTTTTTTTTTTTCTTGTGATGGCAAAGCTGCATTTTCAAGAGCTATTACTCCAGTCTTCAGTGTCACATGATCCTGTAATTGTAATATGCTAATTTCTTATTATCAATGTTTAAACCATTGTGCTACTTAATATTTAAAAAAAATAAAAATAAAAATTTTTTTTTAGGATGCTTTATTGAATAGAAACTTCAAAAGAAAAGCATTTTTTAAAATAGAAATGTTTTGAAATATTATAATAGTCTTTACTGTCACTTTTGATCAGTTTCATGCATCTTTGCAAAAGTATTTATCTCTTAAAAAAGAAAAAAAAAATCTTACAAACTTTTGAATGGTAGTGTGGCTATTTTATTTTCTCAGTGGTGGATTACATCTTCCATGGTAACCCCCCCCCCCCCCCCAAAAAA